TCATCACACTCTTGTATAATTTAAGTCTTATTGGAATTCTCTTGACACATAAAACACCTGGCAATTCTATCCACTTGATCCAATATGTCATATGAATCCTACGTTTCACATTCTTGTCAAAACCACCATTTTTTTTACAGAGTATACAAGATACTTAAAATAAAAATTATAATAATTTTCAAAATCCAAGTCTAATGTACTAATAAAAAGTTTTTTCTAGAGAGTTATCCCTACAAAGCATGTTTTTGAGCATAATTTAAATCGTTTTAGAGAAAATGTCGATTGTAATTTATAATACAATTGCAATCATCAGATCGGCTACGATTAAAGTTTAAAAAATTAAAATATTCTTTTCATCAATAAATTTTGGGCTATCAAAAATAGTTATACATTTTCATTCAAAAATGTTATTAGTTATATAGATATAGTCAAAAGTCTCGAAACACTGAAAACTTCCAAAAGAAATTCGAGAAACATTGTCAAAAGCAACGCATATCTATTTGGTCAATGATTTATTAGTACTTTCGATTTTAAATTACAATTCTGGCTTGTAATACCTTATTAACCCACCTATATTAGAACGTTGGCCTACTTAAATATACGAAGTCTATTACTATTTAGTAAAACATGCGCATCGTTATAAAACTACTAATAATAACACGTTTTTTGTATATAATATTAAATGTAAATAACGTTTAAAATTACATTAGGTTTTTGTTAAAAAAAAAAAAAAAACTACATTAAAAGTAGAATTTACAGTAATGCGTTTTTTTTTTAGATTTGGAGCGCAGCGAGAAATTTATTGATTTTATTATGATATGTGATGCGGTTAAAATGTCTATGCATTTCTTAACACAATTTTAACCGAATTAAACCAAACAAAAACTAAACAATTTTAAATGCTTAGCTTGAAAATCAATCGAATGTTTTAAACATTTTATTACATCTATGAAAGACTAATAAAAGTATTCCTAAAAAAAATTCCTATCTAATCGTAAAATCATACTATTTTTTAATTTATGTGATTATAATTTTTTAGTCTAGTCAAAATGCTTAAAAATATATCACGAGATTCATAATAAGTTGTATATGATAATATTAAAAAAGAGTTGATACTTAGGATGGGCAAGGACGCCTACAGGGGGGGGGGGGAAAGGGCAATTTCCCCCACAGGATTTTCAACTGTATATCGTAATAATGATGTTGACGATTAGCGCACACGGATAAATGTAAAATAATGAAATTCACAGCGATTAGTGGACACGAATCAATAACAAGTAAAAAAAAAGAGCTGAGAACTGGAAACGGGTGCGACCGCTGTTGTAGATAAGAAGTTGGGCAGGTAAAATACATAAGGTTATTTCATTTATATCTGTAAGCAACGATAAACCATTGCTTAAAAAAAAAACGATTCCGAGCGCAGTTCGGTAACACATAATTTGAAGTATCGTAATTTTTTTTTTGCGATTTTCATTTAAAATTGATTTCAAGCGCTTATTAAAAAAAAAAGTCATCCAATGAATTTTAAAATTTTACTACATCAAAGTAAGTTCAATAGAAGTATTATTACCGAATTTCAAGTCTCTACGTGTATTTATAACTGAATTACGGCAAAAACCTTCCCAAAAATTAAAATTCCTTAAAAGCTCAAAAGTGGCCCAACAGTTTTGACAGTAATACCGTAAGAAATTAAATCAATTAGACAACAAAAAAGGTATCGTATGATTTTTGGATTAAATCATTTTTTCCGGTAGAAAACGTCGTCCGTGTTTTTATAATATAATGAAATCGTGAAATTGTTCTTTTTCCTACGTTTTTTTCCACTTGAGTGCTTTTATATAAAAAATGGCTTCAAAAATTAAATGACTTCTTTAAAGTAAAATCTAGAAAACGTGTGCTTTTATAAAAGTTGCTACACGTAAAATCAGAGCAAGTTTACTAGAAAAAAACGTATCCACAGACTAGAAAAAGAACAAGAACAAAGAAATAAACAGCATTGTAAAACCAATAGCTCACTCGTTACGCTCGGAATCTAAAATTCTGTAACATGCCATAGGAGTTTATAAAAATTTAACGGGAAAAATATCTCCTTGTTCATGGTGGATTTATTAATAAAAAAGATAGAAAAGGTAATAAAAATTGTATAGAGACACTACGAAATTAAAAATTATCCAGGACGAGCGCATACAATGCAAAGTATATATTATTTCTTTATGTTTTTATTTAATCCAAAATGATATATAATAAATTATTATTAATAATTGATTTGTAAATATCCTGTAATAATAATCTATTTCATAAAAAATATAAATTATATTAAAAGTGTATTTTTATTTTTTTTTATGATTTGTACTAAATTGTACTTGTAGGAGTTATAATAAAATCCATAGATCATAACCATGTACCAGACATTGGAAAAATCTTGGACAGGAGAGGTCAACGTCGACAACCACAATATCCTATTGAAATATGAAACTGTTCAGAACGTCTTCAATTTAATCTGCCGAGAACCAATAACAGTATTGAAGGCTGGCATAATGCATTTTCGACATTAATATATTGTAAAAAACCAGTCATATGGAAATTTATAAGTGCATTGCAAAGAGATGAAAGCTTAACAGGAGTAACAAAGGAACAATTAATTGCTGGATACGCACCAACTAAAAAAAAAAGAAGTACAAAGACTTATTAAAAATATTGATTCAAATATGTAATGATTCAAGTAACTTTACAACCGACGAAGTGCTTCAATGTAATGCACACAATTTAAAATTGTATAAATAATTTATAATAGCTGTGTAAATTATATAGATAAATGTATTTCTAATTAAATAGAATCATATTTTCTATTAATGGTATATTTTTTATTCTTGTAATAATATGCATAATAATAATTTTAAACAATTTGTATTCGGTTTTGTTTAGCGTCAAAATTGCATGCGTCAAAATGACGCATGCGCCCAATCGTCGTTCGTCCAAATTGCCGCGTTAATTTGACGCGTGTCAAGATTGCTGCGTCGAAATGACACATATTCAAAAAGGTAGAATACCACAGGGCAATTTTGTGTACATCATAGACCTATAAACTTAATGGACTGCACATTCGACACCACTTAACTGTGTCGTACCATTGTTTCAGTATCCAGTTGAACTGAGAGAGACAACAATACAAATTGGGAAAAATCATAGAATAATTTATATTCACTACTGAATCACAAACAATAGGTTTTATAACAATCAAAAACCATATCGTTTATAAATTATACTTTAATAATTTAATAACATCTTCACATATTTCAACTTTTCAGTTTTGTTACACAACGGTAACACTGTTTTCCCAGCTCGTAGCTCCATCATCTTTGATCAATGTTGGCTGATGTGTTTTTATCTCTGCACGCAGTACATTAGTTTATGAGTCTATGGTTTATATACACACGGTATACATAAACACTAAATGATCGAAAACGACAAAACAGAATTAAGCAGAATAATAATGTTCGTATTTTCCACCAATAGTTCCTGAGGTAATACAGGTAATCAACGGAAATCAAACAACAACAAAAAAGGAGATATGGAGTATAAACTGCTGAAAATTTCGATAAATGTTTTGAATAATTGAACACCGAGTGGAAATTCCGCATTTTTTTGTTTTTAAAAGTATATAAAAAAAATAATTCGGAAAAAGTATAGGAAATTTCGAAATACGTATCAAATAAACCACCATAGAGAGGAATTTTGCATTTTTCAACGCTAAGCTTAAAAGAATCAGTAACTAACAAACCGTAAAAAGTGATTTTTGAAAAAAATAAGAATCAACATTTTTATAAAACTCACTAAAATGAGTAGCTTCTTCGTTATACTCAGAACCTAAAATTCAGCATGCCATGTAAGTATTTCTATTTAGTATAATGCACTTTTGGGCTCTGGATACCAGACAAATAGGAAAAGTTAACACCATATTTCTTTTAATTATTACAGAATATATTACATTTATTTCATAAAAAAAGACGTCCTAGGATATTAGGAATGGGTGCAGCCACTGTTATAGGTAATTTAATGTATACAGGTATAAGCAACGATACACCATTGCTTACGAAAAAACGATTCTGAGCGGAATTCAGTTGAAACTGATGAGAAAATCGAAAAATGACCTCTTAGGTGCCTCTCCACACTGATTTTCTTTCAGAAAAAGTACTACACATAAAAATCGAAGCAAGTTCTCTGGTAGAAAAGTCGTCCACAGAAAAAAAAAATAAACACCTTTGTAAAACCATAAGCTTCTTCGTTCCATTTAAAATCTAAAATACGTGTGTAGTCTACCAAATAAAATATACTACTTAGCAAATATATATTCCGTAAAAATGAATAACTTACCTACATTTTTTTGATCGATATAATACCACAGCGTAAAAGCTCTGTCACAAAATTGTATTCCAGCCCGTTCGAATATTATAACACAGTTATACTATTATGTCATATTAAAGTGTACACGGTAATGCATGGGGTGAAAATATTCAACTCGACACCACGTGAATTAATTAAATAATATTTTTATACATTTGTAGTGTAGTACCGTGATTTACATAATATTTCATATTTGATGTTACGAAAGTATAAATATTATTACAATATATTATATTGGGCGATTGAACGCGCGACCGAAATGGTAACGATTATCTTGTCCCGTGTCCTATAGGCTTGTCACGGATGACACTTCTACTTTTTTTTCTCCTCTTCTTCTTTTTCTTCTCGACAGGTGTGCCCACACGACCATGGACTACTCGAGTTAATATATACGCGATTACACAAGTCGAGGTGCAACTATTGGATCAGCTCGAGCAAACAATTATGAGGCGTATATTGGATTAGGTATTCGAAGACCAAATATATAGTTTTTAAGTAGGTAGGTTAGCCAGGCTAAAACACTCGCGTGCAGAATATGAAAGGCGGGCGTGTAGATTGTGTGTCATACGTACAAGGCGTTGTTTTATACAAAAATAAATTTATATTTTTTATTACGATAAATAATAAATTTTTATGAAAATATTACATTATAAATTATTACTTTAAGGAGAAGAAAAAAGAAAAATCATAATTGACGAGCTCTCAATAGGCCGATGCGCTGGGGGACTTTTTGTAAGCCGCCGATGCGCTTTGGCCCTGGTAACCTTGTTGCGGTTTGTACGACGAACCGCCAGAGACGGCAAATTGTCCGTAAGACGACGAACCGGCAGGGGCGGCAGGTTGTCCGTAAGACGACGAACCGGCAGGGGCGGTAGTTTGTCCGTAAGACGACGGGCCGGACGGCTGACCGTATGATCCGGAAGACTGTTCACCGGCGTTCTGGTAGCTTGGTTGTTTCGGGGCAGCGGTTGACGATTGGCCGTATGAACCTACAGATGCGGATGTCTGTCCGTAAGATGTCGAGGCAGAGGTTTGTCCGTAAGATGCTGGGGCAGAAGTCTGACTGTAAGATCCTCCGGAGTAATATGCTTTTGCGGAATTTCCTGGAGCGGATGTTTGTGCGTAAGCTCCCGATTCTTGTGCGTACGAAGTCGAACTTCCACTCTGTCCGTAAGCGGCTTGCTGTTGTTGGTACGCTTGTTGTGCGGCTTCTTCAGCAGCATTCTGTTCTAACGACTGAAGAATTTCAGCGGGAATCGGTGGCGGTGTTGGAAGGTGGTCACCTTTCGGCACGAATCCGTTTTCGTCGGCGGTGTAAGTGATCGTGATGAGTTTACCGTCTTCTCCGGGGTAGCTGAAAGATCCATAAACTGTCTGGATACCTTCTGGGCCACCTGGTTTAAGTTGACCATATTCCGAAACCGAAATACCGTTGCCAGTTTCGTAGCTATAAACATAATTTAAAAAAACGTTATTACATATTACGTATTATTATTTGTTTACGTTTAAAATATTACCTGTATGAGTAAGATCCATCGCCGAGATTCGGTTGGTTGGACTGGGACAGAATGGGAATAACTTCTACGGGTCCAGCGACATTGCCTGGTGCAAACGCGTTGTATCCGTTGCTTGCTGGTTTATAAGCATCTGCGGGTGCACTAGGAGAACCGACCGGTGCTTTGGGGGCTTCGTATTCAGATCCTGATTTCGGGTACAGTGCCGAAGCAGGCGATACTGGCTTTGGACGAGAACGTTGGCCGTACGATGACGGAGAAGAGGCTTGTGGTTGATATTGCGATGGCGAAGCGGTTGATTGATACGAAGGAGCGGCAGTAGATTTGGAACCGTATGACGGAGAAGAAGGCCTTAGAACGTAACCGGATTTACTCACTTGAGTGGATGTCGGAACAGCCGGGGTAGATTGGTAAGAAGCAGGAGCACCGCCAAATTGGAAAATTTGTCCGCCTTGTGACGAGTATGTCTGTGATATGGGCGCTTGATAACCGGGCTGTGCGTTTTGTAAATAAGATGGTGCAGCTGGAGCGGACGGATAAGATCCTGCAGCACTGGACTGGTAACCGGATTGCGGGGCTTTTGAGTATTGTGAACTTGCTGAAGGGGACTGATAAGAAGCGCCACCTGCAGATTTGTACGCAGCTTGCGCACCCGATCCGGCGCCAGACAAGTAACCAGAAAATGCATTAGTTTTGTATGAAGGAGCTGAAGTCGATTGTTGGTACGATCCAGCAGTGGATTGATATCCAGTGGCTCCAGCGTTTACTGTGTATGCTGAGACATCTACTGCGGCATTTTCGTAACCTTCATTAGGTGTAGAAGGTATCGATGGCGTAGTTGGAGATCCGTAACCGGAAGAAGCTTCGGATTCATAACCTTGTGGATGAGCTGCCGCAAAGGCGACAAACGCAATAAATAAAATCTGAAAAAAATACATTATATTATTTATACAATAATATATGTATTAGTGTTTGTAAGACATAATCATATGTCACACAAGGTTTGTAAAACCCGATTATTATAAAAAATATCTTGAATTATTTTTAAAAGTACAGTACTAAATGTTTCGTTTTATTTACTGTAGTGTATGGTGTTTAACATTTTAAATTAATAGGCACTCTAAACAAAAAAAACTCTATATTCTTTTTCATGTGTATACCTATTATTAATAAAATTTCGATTAGTAAAAGATATAAACTAAGTTTACATAGTTAAAATATATGTAAAGCAAAGGGCTAAATTATACGATCAGTCACAAAATAGAAACTAGATATCTAAAACCTAGACAACGGTGGGCAATGGAAAAATTGAGTGGGATGGTCTAAAAACCTTAAACGTGCTGGATGGAGAAGAGTATTACATAATATAAAAGAAAAGCATTTGATTAGATATTGTGGAAATGGTGATGGGCTTAAATGACCTAGAATAACCAAAAAATACAAAAAAAATGATATCACTTGTTTTCTTTTAATGGATTTAATATCGTTAATAGAAAGTAAGTTTTAAAACAGTTCTATTAGCGATTCAATAGTTGAGTAATATTAATAAATTAAAATTCATTTTGCATTAAGAAAAACACTTTAATAGTTAAGTAATGACATTTGAATTGTGCATTATATTTTCTTTTTAGACATTAAAGTGTTTTACATACATTCTTTACAATTTTTTTTTTTTTGTAATGTTACTCAGACAGGTATTTTATGATTATATCCGAACCATTAAAAACATAGTAACGACCACCATCAAAACGAACAAAAAAATAACATTTATGGGAAAAAAATTAATTGCATTTTTATGTATTTTTTACGTCGTATATTAATGAGACGATCGCGTATATTAAAATTTGAATGTTAAAAATGATCGAATTTTCTTCAAATAGCTTATACTTTAAAAAAATATTTGTATTATTTTATAGATCTCGTATGTAGCGAAAAATCTATTTTATTTTTACTAAGATGCGTTTTCTTTTCTATTATTTTATTTAAACACACTCTTAAAATTCTCAATACTCTTTTCAAACAAATGTTTTAAAAAACTAACAACGAAATAAATGCATGATTAGGTTAGGTAAATGCATGGTTTTAGTTTTTGTTGATTTCTGGGTCACAAAAGAAAATACACGCCGTATATATAACTTATAACCTTACCGGTATACTGAGTTTCACTCAAAATCGCTTTTTCATTGCAATAGTTTACCGTTGCTTTCAGTACATAAACTAAATCATATTTTCCTATACATTTTTAAATCATATACCTTCCAAACTATCCACCAACGACAGTACTCTAGGGTAGTCTACCTGCGGTGCAAAGTACGTTCAGTTTTTTGTACTATGGGTAAACATAGTATATATGCCATGAATACCTTATGAGTTATGACTTTATGAGTAATAATAATTTATCGAAGTTACAAAAATTTAATATCAATCAATTAATTTTTCAAGTAACAATAAAGTTGAAGTTTAATAACCGTGAATTCGTTAGGCGATAATACATTAAAAAATACGTTATATTTGAGAACTTATAAAAAAAAAATACGAAAAATCGCGTATACGGTTTGAACAAACGAAACACCGAGTGAAAGTTCTACGTGATCAAAGTTCACGTATGGGAGCGTTAATTTTAAAAATTCTCGCTTGTAAACCCCCGATTACAAGATATCTATCTAGGATAAAATGACCGCCATTCTGCGAGTATGTTTTTGAAAAACTTGTTTTAAATCTCTAAAATAATAAATAAAATTGATCACAATATCGTGTATCCAATTATTATAAAATAATATTAACTTAAATTAGGAATTTTTATCGCCACGGTAAAAACCGGAAATTAAAACGTGAGATCTGCCCAGGCTGTAGTCGTACGTATTCGTTTCGTAAAACGCGTTGTGTAGGTTTTTTTTTTCCTAACAAAATCTGTTCGCAACAACACGACGGGTGTATGCGACGTGGACCGAGAAAAGCGTGTATCGTGTGAAAAAAATTACAAAACTCGCGAGTCTCTTGGCGAACCAAGAAGAAAAGACAGTATCAAACCTGCATCGCGGTCGAACTTTTCAAAACGAAATCCGTATACCATTTTCGAACGCATATTTTTGGTGCCGGACGAATTACAATTTGGAAATTACTGAACGACATAAATGGTACCACGGTTCTAAATGGTTCAATAGCTAACTGCCGCAGACCTAACCTTAACACGGCGTTCTATAAACGGATCGAGCCGTACGAATATATACCGCCTTCGGAGCCTTTTCGCAGCCACACCGATAGTACGTCGCCGATCGATTTTCAACGTAACGCATGTTAGAACGCGCGCCTGCAGACCAAAAAATAAAAGGGAAAAAATCCGAATGAGAAAAAAAAAAATTATGAAAACGAAAAAAAATCGCGATATAATTCGACTCGAGCACCGCGCTTCTTCGCCGCGGGACGGACACCACAGACGTAAGCGGCATAATACTCGAACGATGGACACGATGTGTCCGCGTGATGTTCCGTCGAAATAAAAGTACGAGTGCGCAGTCCGATATTACGATCGGGCGGTTATTTATTTTTTTTTTTTTTCCCGCTAAAAACTTACCATCTTCATGTTGGTTCGGCGACGGTGATGCGTGTTTCTTCGCAACGTCTACGATGTGGCGGCCCGTGTCGGTAGGTTCGGTGGCGGTATAGGTATAGGCGTAGGTGTATCAGTGTTGCAGTGTTGTGCCGTCGTCGGGTGTGTGATCTCTGGAAATCAATCGAAGACGAAAACCGAACTGACTATTGGATCGGTATCGGAGGTCTATATATACGCGGATTGACGTCGGGACGATCGCTGGCCGCGGCGGCGTAAGGCGCGCGCGCTCCGGAGGAAGCGTTCCCCACTATGCCGTCCGCCACTACCCCGGCCCCGCAGCGACGCCCCTGTCGGGCCGACTCGAGACGGGCGCGGGGAGAGTATTTTTCAGTTTTTTTTTTTTTCTCGAAATTTTTTTTTTTTTTCGACACGACTACGACGATGCGATATTATACTATCTGCACTAATTAGAATAACGCGCGTGCGCCGTGGTGCCGACAGGTGTAGGACGCGATACAATATGTAATAGTATAATAATATAATTATTCCTCGCCTTGGATCATCGCATCATCCACGATGATGATGCGGCCGGTGCGACGATGATTGATCAATACAGTAATATTATTACATACCGTCGGATATCGTTTTGACCCAATTCGATGCCTCTGCGATGACGACTCTACAACGTAATCGGTATACGTATACGCCGAATTGTCAATATACGTACACCGCCGGGCCGTTGTTTTTTTGGATTTTTTTTTTTTTACGACGTTCTACGTGCTAAAGGATCGCCGGAGACGGTCCCACGCGGACGTGTCTCGTCGACGACGGCGGATACGATAGGTACCTACACGAACATTCGATCGTTTATTATTCCGATAACGTACCGTATTATACTGTATCGCGTAGTCGCGTTAATCTTTTTTTTACGACTCCGATACGAGCGCCTCGTTTCGTTTCTTGGCTCGACAATTCGGACGTTTCCGCGAAATTTCGCATAGAAATCGGTTTTTCATCGTGAATACCCGGTCGGTAAATTTGAAAACAATAAGATGTACGCGTCTTTGTCGTATTATATAAGTATAGGTTATATTATAATTAAGGCTCGGGACTCTAACACGCTTAAAATTCACATAAAGGCGATAAAAAAAAAAAAACGTCAAAAAAGCTTGTTTTTAAAAGGCCCCCTCTAATGGCTCTCACTTATAAAATACAAGTATCGAACACTACAAAAATTATTAACATAAAATTTTAAATAAAATTCTAAGTATTATAAAAAAGGAAAATAACATGTGTTGGATAATTAATTAATGGTTAGATGGTTGGGGGTGGAAAGTAACTTTTTTAAACTATTTTCTGTAGATTTTAAACGCATTAAGTCCCGAGCCCTAATTATAATGATTAAGACTCGGATTTTAAGATGAAAAACTACATATTTTTTTTTTACCCTTGATAATACTTTTCGTGCCGAGCGCATATAATTCGACTCATATATGACGTTATAACCAAAAGATGTATACGTAAGTACTCCGAATGTAAAATTTCATAATTTTGTCTCAAGATATTTCGCTTTTATGCTTGTAATAACAAGGTTGAACCTAACAGATTAATAGAATAGCTATAGCAACACGTTTTTGTTAAGGATTTGTGTTTTTTACTATAGGACGAAGAATTCCGATTTCCGAGTGTAAATAATTCGGATTCACGAGTGTGATACGAATACGAGCGTGTTTTTGGCAGAAGAGTTCTCAAAGCTTAAATTTTCGTTGAAAAAACAACGGTTTAAAATTTGTTTGGAATTATTACTGTTGCCTATAGGTATATTTATACGGGCACTCTGATGGTTTTCCTAAAAGAAAAAAAAACGACAATAATAATAAACTTACTTACGGATGCGTCCGATTTCGTAAACCGCATTCGAAAAACCGGTTAGGTACCGATTCGGTAATTAAATCAGATATATCAACGGTTTGATAGTATTATTTTAATATGCGAATCGTAATAATATTATTATTATGTAGGCACGTCGAACGTCGAACGGTCAGATTCCGGTTAAATATGCATCGCATCTTGTCGCAAGTTACTTCTCAAACTATATACCTACAATTAAAATATTAAAATAGTCGATCCCATGAGAAAATAAAATATTAAGAACACAAATTAATCCGTTTGGATCTTATAACAGTACCTATTTTACACGATAATCCGACATTTGTGTTTTTTATATATATATATATATATATATATATATATATATATATATATGTATACTTACCATGAAAAAACAGACTAACATGTTAATTGTTTTATCTAAATAATACTATGAAATACTTAAAAATCAAGAATTTCTTAGAGACTCTGCCCCCCCTCCCAATTGGTCCAATATGAAGTTTCGTTTATTTTATATTTTAATGTGTCGTGAAGAAGCTGGTAATTTTACTATTATGATTTGTGTTTGTAAATATTTTTTTGCCTAGTAAAATACTTAAATTACTTAAAATACTTTATAAATGATATGGATTTCTTACTTGATACAGTGATACTTTATTCAAAACGATTTATCGAAATTTTTAGCAGTTCACCCCCTAGGTCCTTTTTTTGTTGTTGTTGGATTTTTCTAGATTTGTGGATTACAGGCTTAGCAACAATTGGAAAAACGCGATCAATACTACTTTGCTCAGAATCGTTTTTTCGTTTAAAATGATTCATCGTTGAATGTACAGTATATAAAACAAATTACCCTGTATATCATACCTTACCGACTACCCGCCTGTAGCAGTGGACTGCCCGTAATCTCACCTGGTAATAATCGCATCATCAACACCGCAGATACATATTAACTTCTAAAACTTCTTCTGGTGCGTTTTTTGTATGTTTTTATTTGTCTAGATTAATGAGAAATAAGTTATCTGAGCCGTTATAAAGATAAATAATTAGATCATCTATAAATAAATTTACCTAGACGAATCTTTTTAAATGGAATTAATGCATTATATAAGAAATAAAATATGGTTTAATAAATTAATTATTGAGTTACATCAATCACACAACCTTTATCTGAAATCAAAATGTGTACCGACTTTGATACACTTTTATTAGGTACTCGCAGTATGTTGTTCTATAACAGCTTATGAACAAAATTATCTAAATTTTTTTTTTAATCTAGATAAATTTTTCTGATTATCTTCATTTTATCTTTATCTAGATAACTATTCTGACAATTATCTCGTATTAATTATCTAGATATTTTAAAGTTTATCTTCATACGGTACACTATTCCGTCATACTATACCGTTATAATATTATATTATTTACCGTATATTAGCAAAAATAGTGATTATCTATTGATAATTATCGTACCCACCTACTACGATACGTAATGCGGACCCGACTGTTATTTTCAATTAAGCCACGGTAATAATAAAAGCTAACTATAGATCTATAATCTATAGAAACGGTACGTACCTATAGATTAATTATTATTGCATAGCTATTGACGCGATGACCGGGTTAAGTGAAAATGAAAAAAAAAAATTGTTTTAACGTCCAATCTTGGCGAGTATATAGGCACCTAATAATATATCATCCGAGCCGACGACGTAATATAAATTGAGCGGTTGCTCGCCGCAATATACAGGCAGCTAACACGTGTATTATAGAATATAATAATACCGTACTTTTCACCGCGTAATAAGTGCGGTTTTTAAAAATTACAATAAATCGATCCGTTACCGAATTTAATTATTATTAAAAACAAATTACATAATATCTTCGCCATCGTGCGACGAGTGACCAAGTGTCAAACTACAGTAACTCAGCGAAATTAAATTACCAACCGAACAGTCCCTAGAATCTTCCGCCAAGTGTAAAAAAAAACGGACCAGATAAAAATCAAAATTTATACCGAGTTATACTCGGTATAACCTATAGCTTGTTGTAATCCGATCATTTTGTTTAACCTTATTTTTTTTATTTTTTTTATTTTGTTTTTCCAGAGTTATTAATGAACATAACTATTGGTTTCAAATTACCTATATTTACTTTCTCGCATATTTTGTAAGACAAAACTTTACAAATCTAACAAAATTAATTTTCCAGACCATTATAAATATCAAATAATAAAACAGGAACAAAGTTAAAATGTCATTTGAACAATTTTCACACAACGGTGATGATAATATTTTATGTATCTTTTAATATATATTTTGGATAGTTTTAATTTTATTAGGAATATCTTTACAAAGGTTAAAAGCAATACAAATTTAGTCGAGCATTAAGTACAAAAGAACGTATACAATTCGGGTGGTGTAAATTTGTGGCCCAGAGTTTTGAAAGGTTAACTAGGAAATTCAATAAGAAGAGGTGGGATGATTCGATGACAGTAGGAAGTAGAAATATAGCCCTAGTACCATGCTTCGTAATGGATTGATGGTTACAATTTCTCGGACAAATAATGCGCAGAAATGATGACAACACTGTTAAAGCGATTGTGAACTAGAAACTAAAAGGAAAGACATACCTTGAACCGAGTTCAGAAGGATATGGAAAGTTTAGCGGTTTACGATTGTAGAAATATCGTCCAAGATTGGGTAAAATGGAGGAAAGTATGGTTGGCAGTTAAATCCCTTGTGTATAGTTATAAAAGCCGGAAGGGAAAAACACTCAATTATACTATAAATACATTTATTTTTAATTTTTCGTGCGATTTTTTTTTTTAGCTTTTTGCGATTTTCCCGGCGTCTCTAATTATTATAAAAAGTGAAGACAAATTATCTACTCAAGTATTATATAGCTACCTATAACGACACGACTAACTTAGGTACTCTATCGATAAAGTTATTATTTCATAACGTCTGCAACGGAATGATGTCATAATCATACTACAAGTATACCCACATATAAGTAATGTTTATAGTTTTTCAAACAAAATGGAATCGCAAATATTATTATTTATTTTTTTTAAACACGATTCCCTCGGGATGAAAACGGTATATACCTACGTCCTGTGCGGTGATTTGTTTGTATACCTTATAGGCTATATATTTATAAATATATATATATATATATATATATTAAACAAATAAATCAGTGCACATCGAATATTATTATACACCTACCTTCACTAATCACGAAAGATCAATTAATCAACTTGCAGCAGAATATCATAATATATAGGATATCAATCGTGCGAATATTATTACTTATGCTCGTATTATACACTTAAGGTTGAACAATTTTAGCTCAGATACG